AGGCGCGGCTTTATTGATTGCTAACCAAATATGGTAATTATTCAAATGAATGTATTCATGAATGTACTCGAACTGAATGCACTTATAAATGCAGCGAGCATTGCTAATGGTATAAATTAATCAATTGTTTTGCTATGCATATTCATGAATGCACTCATGAGTACACTCATGAATACACTCACTTGCAGTAAACCAATTTTGAGTGTACATAATGGTAATTAAATATCAAATTAATATGTTAATTATTTATATGAATATATTCATGAATACACTCAAACCGAGTATACTTAAAATTGAATTTATGAATACTGTGAATATTGCCAATGATATACATGAATCAATCATGTTGCTATGCATATTTATGAATACACGCATGCATATTCATTTATGAATACACTCAATGTATTCACGAGCATTAGGCCAAATGATTAGCGCTCTAAGCGCACAAATCGAAGCGCAATACACTTGCATTGCAAATGCACCTCATTCCCACACACTCATACACACACTCACACCCACACTCACTCACTTGCTCATTCACATGTGCGCTGCATTTGCAGCTTGACAATTCCTTTCTGCCAGCGTTTGTTTTGTCTTTTGTTGCAAATTGCCAACTTGGGCATTGCCAGCTGCAGCAGCAGCAGCAACAGCAACAGCAGCAGCAACAATCATAAAGAATGCGACAAAAGCTTTGGCGTCAAAGCTCTGGGGTGCACTTGGCAGACTTGAAGATGCCCACCCTCAACCCTTATTCGGCCGCCACACTTGAAACAATCAAAAATCAATGACAAACGAACAGCAGCAAAAAAAAAAAAAAAAAAAATTGAAACCGACATTGAGATGGCAGAAGCGACGCTGCGGCTGCGGCTGCTGTTGCCGTTGCTGTTGCTGCTCTTTACTCATTTGTCTTTTGGCTTTTTGGAAATTAACAACACACGCCCGCCCCCAACCCTCGCAGCTCGCAGCGAAAGCCTCTTTAGCCTGAATGCTTGAAAAGTAACCCCTTTTTTATAGCGCCCAAGCTAACTTCCTTGCCGCGTCGCTAGCTCGGCTTTGCTGTCTCTTGATGTACATATATATCTATATATCTATATATATATATATACATATATCTATTATATGAGCATATATATCTATATGTATATTTCTATGTGTATATACATATATATTTTAAAATTTTTATGCCCGAATGAGTTTTAATTCCTTTGACGGTTGCTTTTGGCATTGGCAGCTGGCGTGCCTAAAAGGCAGCTACAACAATTTTTATACATGCATATGCAGCTTCATTTATATGTGTGTGTGTGTGTGTGTGTGTTTGTATCTTTGATTGCTTATTGTTAATTTGTATTTGTATATTGGTCGCCTGTATGTGTGCGCTCTGAGATGTTCGCTGATTAAACCCTTTTTTACCCTGCTACATATGAATGAATGTGGCAATCACACACACACATAAATGAAAGTGAAAGAGAGAGAAAGAGAGAGAAGGAGAGCATCTTAATTCCTTTTGGCGTTTTATGCATCGACCCAAGCAATTCGCCCACCTGCTGCCACATCAACGTCTTTTGCCTTCGAGTGTTTGTTATTGTTGTTTTTTGCTGTTGTCTTGTGCTTTGTGTAGATGTGTGTGCGTGTGTGTATTGACTGCTTTGTCAATTGTTTGGGGCTGCTGGCAGACTGACTGCCAGCCAGCCAGCCAGCCAGCCAGCCTGCCTGCCTGCCTGCTTGTCGTCGCGCTGGCTGCCTGGCAATTTTGTTAATTACAAATCGTTTGCTTTTAGCTCTATGCTAATGTCTCTGCCTGGGACACCAACCCCTACCACGTGTGTGTATGTGTGTGCCTGTGTGTGTGTGTCTATTTTTGCATAACTTACGCAACTTTTTACAATTCTGACAGCTACCTCCAGCCCCCCAGTTCCAGCCCCAAAGCAGGAAAAAAAAAACGCATACACAAGGGTTGTTGTTCTATTATATTTTATATATCTTTATATTACATATGCATATGTGTATACACAGCTATAGACTATCAGCTAAATATCGCTGTCTATTTTGCATAGAACATGCATTCTTTGCTAGCGGGGAGGCAGGGGAAGTTGGTCTAGGCAACAAACCAACGCCAATTAACACACACACACACACAGAGACGGTAGTAGTAGTTGTAGCAGCAGCCGTAACTGTCAGTCAATGTCCAACAGTCTCTTACCTAAATATTCAACTATTCCCATTGTTGGAAAAATGTAAATTTTCATAATTTTATAGTCAATAGGGCCCACCCACCCACAATTGCCAAACATTCATCTCATAGTTTTTGTTTGATTGTTGTAGTCGAGTCAAATCGGCCTCGCCCCCGCACCCCATCCTCGCCCCCACAGGCTGCTGGCATCCCAGTCAGCCGCAAGAGGCAAAAGCCGCAAAAGGCAGCCAACGGGAATCGGACAGGCAAAAGTTTTCTGACGCAAAGGGTTGCAAATGATTTTTGAGTTGTGTCGAAAATCCCCAAAAAGTTGATTTATCGTTTTAATAATTCCTCAAACAACACAAGCGAACGCAGCTCGGCGAATAGTCGTATATGCTGAAGTGGCATCAAATCGAAAAATGACAAAAATGTCTAGATATGCACCCATCTCTATTAATGTTAACTGGCTGGCGGCGTTGCCAAATTTCAGCGTGCGCTGTTGCCAAATTTCGAATATTCTGTAGTTTTAAGGCGATTCTATATAGCAAGCAGTTGATTATTAATGAACTCGCATGTGTCTTTCTGTGTGTGTGTGTTTGTGTAAGACACAACAAGACAGATACACACACACACACATGCACACCCACGCACAACCCTTGGCATACCCGTACACTTGCGCCGCATGCTAATTGCGTTTATTTAACAAAACAAATTTTTTACTTTTCCCACTTTGAGAAGGTTTTTGACATGGGAGCCTGGGGTGGCGGGTGGCGGGTGGCGGGTGGCGGGTGGCGCTGCGACTCAATTGAGTTGGCAATTAGACGCCAGCCAGAAGGGATTTTTTGTTTTTGAATAGGTCTATATGGGGGTATACAACATTTTTATGCAATTAATTTGAGTCGTCGTCGTCGTCGTTGTTTTTGTCGTCCTCGCCTGTCGTCTTGTCATGTGCTACTTCTTCTTCTTCTGCTTCTTCTTGTGCTTGTTCTTGTTCTTGTTCTCCTTTTTAACTGGGGGAGCTGTTGTCCTTAGCAGCTACTCACATGTCTCGTATGCTAATGAAAAATCGAACACGCAACCCCAGCCCGGGCAAGGGACGGGGTTCTGCCTTTTGATTGATAATGAAATTAACTGCTTAGCATTTCGAGGCATGACATGGGCCCAACAACACAAGCCGAAGAAGCACCAACTAAAAGGGACACATGTTTCTATGCATGCATACATCTACATATGTACATATGTATTTATAGATATTTCATGTTGATGCGTTTTTAATGCCAATTATATATTATTGCATACGTGTATGCGCAGTCAACCGTGCGCCAATAATAATAATAATCATAATCTGGGCCATTTCGGTTTGTTTATTGATAAAATAGATGCACACACATGCAAGCGCGCATGTCTGTGTGTGCGTTTATGTATATTAAGCAAAAGTTTAACTCAATCAACTTTGCTGTCATATGGGGCTCAACGATCAAAATTAACGTGGCTCACAAATAACGCAATGACACGCAAATTACCAATTGGCATTCGCCTGATTTGCGTCCTGTTTGGCGGTACAGTTGCCAGCAAAAGTCGCTACACAAAGTTGTCTCTCTGTATGTGTGTGTGTGTGTGTGTGTGCTGACAGTATGCCTTTGGCATATGCGTCAATTAAAAACCGCGCCATTAAATTAATTTTAATCACATAATAAGAAATATACACACACATGCACACACACATACGCACACACTCACGCATACAAGCCACCTGGCTGTCATTAAAAAATTTTGCTGCATACCACCAGGCGCCAAACTTTATCTTGTCAACTTTGTTGCGGCGCCACGCCTCCTGCAGCCAGCGTGCCTCCCTCACAGATTCATGCCGCACACGTCTCTCTCACGTTGACGCACTTAAGAAAAATTCCCTTGTCAAATTTGCCAATTATCATATTTTCATCAAACAAACAAAGTTCCAAAAACTCAAACGCTCGCCGGAGGCACACTGCCTGCCTGCCATGCCCCATCACTGCCTCTGCCTCTCTCTGCCGTCTCCTGCCACACGCTCAGCATGCATTGTGCTTGTACCTTGGCCCCTGCTACACCTGTGGCTGTATCTGTGGCCTGTTCGCTTGAGTCACAGGCAATCAGCGACGTCGTCGTCGTTGTTAATTTTATTAAAAATTATTTTATAACTCTCGAACTTTTCCACGCACACACGACAGACTGCGATGCGATGTGATGCGATGCGATGCGACGCGACTTTCCTCTGTGTAAAAGCCTCCGCCTGACTTGCTCGCATTGCTGTTGTTGTTTAAATATTGATGTGTGCAATTACAAAAATACAAGCAGATAGCAAGAGAAAGAGAGAGAGAGAAACGGAGTGGAAAGGCCTTGCAACCGCAGCAGCCACAATGGCAGAGTTGCCACAAAATATGCAACCAAAAAGTTTGCAGCTCTCACATGCGCCCAGGCTCAAATGTTCATCAACTACTGATTGCAAGCGCAACCAAACAATTCAGAAAATTAACAACAGTCTGTGAGCTGCTTACAATTTAAAAAAAAAAAAATCATGATAAAAAGTCAGTTTTGATTGAAAATGGCTGATGCCATGCTCTATCTCTCTCTCTCTCTCACTCTCGTTCATTCTCCCTCTCTGTCTCTCTCTGTCAATGACCCATTCACTATGTCTCTCTCAGGTCTCTTTCTTTACTAACCTCCAACAATGTGCTGGAAAAATAGATGTATATCTATATGCATATAAAATAATACTAAATAGAATTTTCAAAAATATTTAACATCTCAATTAAAATACTAATTATTGCATTTTTTCCATCGTTTTCAGATTAAAGCACTTTTGGATGAGTTGCAACGCCTGCGCGCCTTGGAACAAACTCACCTGGTACAAATCCAGAGGCTCGAGGAGCACCTGGAGGTGAAGCGACAGCACATAATGCGCCTGGAGGCCCGCTTGGATAAGCAGCAGATAAACGAGGCGCTCGCCGAGGCAACGGCATTGGCTGCCGCTGTTAATGCTGCTGCGACAAACAACAATAATAATAGCAACAGCAGCAACAACAACAACAGCAGCAGCAACAATAACAACAATCACAGCAGCCAGAGCAACGACAACAACAATGTCGTATTCAAGACAACTGATCTAACATCGACCCATCGGCACAACGACGATGATGACGATGACGATGACAATGATCATGATAATGAGCTGCGCGACGCCGATGGCGATGATGATGACGACCTGCATCTGACCAACAGTGAGCAACAGCAACAGCAGCAGCATGCAGCTTTAGTCAACAATCGCCACGACGATGAGCAGGACAAGGAGGATGCCGAGGAGCACGACGCAGAGATTTCGAATGCCACAGCCGCAGCGGACAGCAATGAGCTGAAAATCAAAAAGGAGCAGCAGTAAGTATTTGCATTGGCATCCCAAACGAAACTGTTCCATTGCCAGTTCATTGAGTGGCTAACCCATGTTTCATTTCCATATCGTTCCTTCAAATCAATAAAATGGCGACGTTTCATATTTTGTTTCCCTTTGAAATCATAACCAACTCTCAATACGTGCAAGCCATGTTCCAGTTCCATTTCGTTCCTATGACACGTAACAAATATAGCCTCCTCTCACTTAACAAACAAATCTATTTTACTCTCAAATCATTATTAATATCTCGTGTTTCATTACCATTTCGTTCCTTTCACGAATTTCGCTATCATTCACTTTGATAACAAATGATTCAGATTTATCTTCAAATCACAACTGACCCTCAATTGCTTATCCATGTTTCGTTTCCATTTCGTTCTCATTGCAGCAGTCCACTGGACCTGAATGTGCTCAGTCCACAGTCGGCGATTGCCACAGCCGCCGCGGCCGCCGCAGCCGCTGCCTGTGCCAACGATCCCAACAAATTCCAAGCCCTGCTACTGGAGCGGACCAAGGCCTTGGCCGCCGAGGCGCTCAAGAACGGCAGCACCGATGCCGTCAGCGATGGTGAGTATGCATGCAGTGCAGCTGTATCTACTGCAGTCCGACGTCGATTCGTTTCCATGTCGCGTGGCGCTGTTGATGTGAAACGCTTTGATCTCTTCCGCCTGTGGAACGGCGCCCAGGAGGGCAGTTTAATGAACTGTTCGACGAGTGCTGAATCCGTCACAATCCCCTCCGTTCCTTTCCGTTCCGTTACGTTACATTGTGTTACCAGCTTATCGGCGCCAACAGAAACGAGGCGCCAATTTTTATGGCTGTCAACAAGCGTCCACGCAGCGACGATCGCGATTTTCTCCATCTGCGACATTTCTTACTTTTTTTTATTGTACTATTATTATTATTTTTGATTTACAATATTTGCATCAGAACGTCTGCGAATGTTGTCATTGTTGTTGTTATAGTCGTTGTTGTTGTTGTTGTTGTTGTTGTTTTTATACACTTTGAGTTGCTCTGCATGTTTATCGATCATGTGTACATACATACATACATACATGCATAGAGGCCAAACGAAACAGCTGACAATCATCATCATTATTATTATTCTTATTACAATTATTATTATTGTTATTATTATCGACAACAACACGGTTCAATGCTATCGCTATGTGTCTATCTCCCCTCTCTCTCTCTCTCTCTGTCTCTATGTATCCCTATGTCTGTCTCACTCACGCTGTCTCTGTCGTGCTACATATATAGTTATATATTCAAATACATATGCATATATATATTTATGAGTCTCTATTTACAACAATTATACACACACACACACACAGTTTCTTTGTTGTTTTGTTGTTCGAATTGGCAAGCGAAAAGTGCAAATTGTTGGCAAACAATACGAAAAAAAAATATATATATATATATATATAAATTTAATATGAAACAAATTGAAAGAAATCAAAAATATACAAATTTTGATTAATTTTTGGCGTTTTGTTCCATGGATGTTGTTAAAATCAGTATATACCAAACAAATATACCAAATACTACTAAATACCAAACAAAAAAACAAGTATTTTATGATAGATCATTGCGAATAAGTAGCAGCAACAAAAGGCACAACTTTTTTGTTGTTTCCCGCAGAAATGCCGCAACAACAACAAGCCGTAGACGTAGCAACAACAGCTGTAGAAGAAGATGCAGCAACAGCAGCAGCAGCAGAGGCAGAAGTAGCAGCAGCAGCCGCAGCAGCAGCAGCAGCAGCAGCAGTTGCCAAGCCAGATTTAAACAAAACTGGAACGAATGAGAATGAGACATTGGTCGAGGCCAATTTGCAGCCGAAAATCGAAATCTTAGACACAGACGAGGTAATAGCCGAGGCTCCAGCTCCAGCTCCAGCTCAAACGCTAGAAGAGCAGCTGGTCAATAGCTATTGGAGGCGTGGCTTTGAAACGAGCACAGCTGCAGCAGCAGCAGCAGCAGCAGCAGCAACGGCAACTGTAGCACCAGCAACAACAGCTGCAGTTGCAGCTGGGAGCAAAACGCCAACAATTTATCAAAATGCCAATGTGGTGCAGCAGCAATTGTTGCCTCCACCGCCACCGCCACTGCCGCAGCCCCAGCAACAACAACAACAACAACAGCAACAGCAACAACACTATCAACAGCAACAACAACAACAACAACAACAACAGCAACAACATGGACCCTCGTCCACTGTGCTGCTCAGTCAATTGGTTAACTCAACTTTCTCACATGCCAATCACTCCTCTTGTTCCAATTCCAAATCCGCACGCCTAGATGCCGCCACACACCACCAACTCCAGCAGCAACAGCAGCAGCAGCAGCAACAGCAACAGCCCCAGCTGCAGCAGCAGCAACTTCTGCACAACAACAGCAATAGCAGCAACAGCAGCCTGACCGGCAGCGATCCGCTGAATCACCACCATCACGCACACCACCACGGCAGCATGGGGCATGGCCAACTGTTGCATACGGCACACCATTTGCATCATGGCGCCGACTCGAACTCATCCAGCGCCAACAGCACACCGAACAGCACCGCCCAGCTGGCGGCGAGCATTGCCAGCACGCTGAACGGCAACAAGTCGCTGTTGCAGGCAGCGGCCGCTGCCAATGTGGCTGCTGCCGCCGTTGCCGTTGCCGAGGACAACAACAACAGTCTGACTCCCAATGCGAACGCGGCGGTGGCCGCAGCAGCGATGGCTGCCCATGCCCAGCATGCGGCTGCTTTGGGTGCGCCCGGCTTCCTGCCCAATTTGCCCAGCCTGCCATTCCAGTTCGCGGCTGCCGCGGCCGCTGGCCAGGAGGCGCGCGCACACTTTCGGTTCGCGGACGCCGAGCTGCAATTGCAGCCGGGCGTTTCGATGGCGGGCCGTTTGGGTGAATCGCTAATACCCAAGGGTGATCCCATGGAGGCCAAGCTGCAGGAGATGCTGCGCTACAACATGGACAAGTATGCCAATCAGGCACTGGACACGCTGCACATCTCGCGACGCGTCCGCGAGCTGCTCTCCGTGCACAACATCGGCCAGCGTCTGTTCGCCAAATACATATTGGGCCTGTCGCAGGGCACCGTCTCCGAGCTGCTCAGCAAGCCAAAGCCCTGGGATAAGCTGACAGAGAAGGGCCGCGACAGCTACCGCAAGATGCATGCCTGGGCCTGCGATGATAATGCCGTCATGCTGCTCAAATCCCTCATACCCAAGAAAGGTGAGTGCCTAACCTTGTTGTTTTTTTTTGTATTACCTTTTATTTTTCCTTCGCTGTCTTGTTTTTCGCGCTCTCTTATGCCGAGCTAATTAGTGGCAGCCACTGCTAGTAGATATAGCACAAAGCACAGCAGCTTAAAAACAGTTGACAGCCGTTGCACGCAGAAAGCGTGACAGCTGACAGTTGCTGTTTGCTATGAACTGACATACATCACTCTTAGTATGCCTGAAGAGTTGAGCCACATTTCATAGCCATATGCCATATGAATGTGCTTTGCATTAAGCGAATAATTGATCATCTCCCATTTCGTGCCATTCAGCTTTTGTCAATCACTTGTCCAAAGGCAAGCCAAGCGAAGGCAAGGCCAGCTAATATAATTAAGCTACTCTTTCACAGCACTCAGCTTTTGTCATGCATTTGCTTTGCAGCGAACAGCTTACAGTTGCTGCTTGCTATATCAATCTTATGCCAGGCGAGCCCATTGAAAGTTCATCTGCAGTTTCATGACACTCAGCTTTTGTCTTCTGCAGCACTGCTCGCCCACTTTCAATAAAATTTGTTGATTCATTCAAACGTTTCCAGCAAGCAATAAGTTCTTCTTCTTGATTTAATTGATTTGCCTAGATTTGAGTAAATATTTTGGAATTCTCGCATTGCATATTGCGCATTTCATGCCCACGTTTAACTCATTTCTCGCTTGTTTCATTTTCATCTTTTCTCTGATTATTATTTTGTTTTTCTGCTTTTTTCTTGAATACTTTTTGGCTGGCGCCCTGCCAAAACATTAAAATGTGAAATTTTAATTATTTTTGATTTTTGCGTATAATCAACGTGCCAACGAGCAACAACGATGGCGACGACTGGATGCATTTCATGCAACCATTTCGCCTGTCGCCATAAATTTTCACAAATTTGCACATTAGGCGTACAACGATTTGCGAATGCAAAACACAATCGTTTCGAATACAACAAATTGTGATCTTTGCTTAACGATAGCAAAGTTGCAAAGTTGCCCTCCGTCCGTCAGTCTGTCTGTCTGTCTGTCGGTTTGTTTGCAGTTGTCTTGGTTAAGCTTTTTATTGATTAGTCATCAATTTAATGGGCTGCCCCAGAACTATGCCCGACCAGCTACAAATATGTCAATGCAAAAGTATTTTTAAAGTATAAACACGCACCTAGCCAATACACAAACACACACACACACACACATACACATGGCTCTACTGGCAGCAACTTGGTAAAGTTAATCAAAGTTTTACTGTGGCTCTCTGTGTGCATAATGCACATGTGCGTGCCTGTGTGTGTGTGTGTCTAAGTGCATGCAAATGTTGACAATTAATTTATGACGATTACTCATGACAGCTAAACTAACTGTTTATATATTTATGGCTGTGGAAGGCAGGCGCTGCAATTTTTTCTCTGATTGAGTGTGTTTAGTGAGCCGCCCCCACACCCTCACCCGTTGCCAGTTAATTATAAGCAAATAGGCATTTAGATGCATGCCATAGAAGCGGTCATAGACACAGTTATATAGAAAAACGGGTTTACAATGACAACAACAACAACTGTTGCCTAGCTCTGGGCGCAAGTTTGTTGCATAAAATTTGTAAATTATTAGAATAGAAATCAGAATTATTACAAAATAACAAGCGGCAATACTTTGAAGTCGCTTTGTGGGCGAGCAAAGTTGTGCGAACTTTTTGGCGCGTCAATGATTTTTGAATTGTAATTGTTTAAAGCGAGGAACGAGCTGGAATGGAACGGGCTTAAATGGGCATGGGGCGACGCGACGACTGCCGTGACAATTGGTCTGTGAAAGGCTTGAAACAAAATACATATACAACAGCAACAGCAACAGCAACAAAAACAACAATTAAAAACACAAAAACAACAACAACAACAACAACAGCAAACATAAAGTAGAATTAAATGTAAACAACGACAACAGCAGCAGCAACAACAACAACGAAACGCAATGCAACTGCTGCCTTCAACGAGGCATGCAAAACGTTGACGTGGCGCGCGTTTGAAGTCGTCTTTGTGCCGGACAAAGTGCGCCAGCTGAGTGCTGGCCGCGGGGCGTGGCAGCGGGGGGCGAAGGCGTAGACTTGGGTGGTGAGTGGGTGAGTGGTGCGGCAGCTGAACGGGATAGCATTTGGGAGCTGGGCGTTGCAATGTGGAGTTATGCCAAGGGCGGCTACCACACGATTGGTTTAGCGGGGGGATAGGCGGGAAGGGGGAGTGGGCCAGCAGCAGGAGGAGCGGCGGCAACTCCAGGGTGGGAGGCAAAAAGTTTTCGCGTTTTTGGTTTGCTCTGCCGTTAATTTAGCTTGGTTTCTTTTTTTTTATTTCTTCTGCTTCTTCTATAAAACATTTGACGACAATTGTTGCATATTAAACGGCGCACGGGCAAAGCGAGTGGAAGAAAGCAACAACAAACTATTGAAAAGTTATAAAATAACGGAAAGTTGACAAGCAATATATACATACATACAAATAATGAAATAGAATGGAACTCGGTTTGTTTGTATAGCCAAAGAATTAATGTTATCGATTAATATGCATACAGATAAATGTCATCAGATTTATCGATTAATCTCATAAATCTATAAATATTTGAGCTATATTTTAGCACTAGTTTTAGAATACTTTTTAATAGCTGATTTGAGTTTTGTTTTATATGCACAGTTCCTATCGATTCTATCTATCGATTCGACATTTTCACATTTCAAAGCACACATACAAACATATGTAAATTTGAAACCACTGTGCAAACACAGTGCCTGCAAGTTGACAATGTTTTTACCATGACAAACCTACACGAGTTGAACACGACCACATAGAGAGGGCAAATAGTAAACGAGAGAGAGAGAGAGAGAGAGAGAGAGGCAGAGAGAGGGAGAGAAGTAGTTTGAGTTTACAGCAGAGTTCAACCAAGTGCCGTTTGAGTACTCAATTCAAACTGCACACAGAAAACTTCAAAATCGGGGCAGGGAATTAAAAAAAAAAAAACAACACACACAAAAAAAAAAAAAAAGAGAAAAGTAAATGGAAAAAAAAAGAGGAAAAACAAACAAAGCTCAACGTCATTTTAGCCGCGTCAGACAAGTCGTATACGTAATGGGCAATATTTGTATTTGTCGACGGCATGCGAATGTGGCCGAGGCAACTCGTTATGGCAGCTAATAATACTAGCATATTAACACATAATTTTAGCAGACGTCGTCTATTTGTTTTAGCAGCAGCAGAGCAGCAGCAGCAGCAGGCGAGAGAGCTATCGAAAAGTCGGGCGAAAAGTGCGTGGCCTAAAATAGAAAAGCACGCGGCAAAGAAGACAAAACAATACAACTAGCGCACATTCAGAGAGTGGAGTGTGAGTGGGGACAGTTGGGGGGGGGAAGGGGGGGAGTACGATACATGGGACAGCTTGCGAACAAGAGATCGAGGAGGTAAAGACAAAAGCATTCCAAATGCCAAACAGACAGAAGACAAAACGCTGCCAGGCACTTTTATTTGCCGCCGTTTCACAAATTATTTGTCACCAGCCATAAAGCGAAATATGTGAGGCACACACACACGCACACACACACACACACAGCCTGACTAAGTGGCCAACGGGGCGTATCAATTCCTGCGCTTTTTGGCCTCAAATTTAAGTTGTTTTCTTTCGTTCTATCTATTTATTTCTTTTTCGCTTTGATTGTAATTTATTTTATTTGATTTTGTTGAAAATTGCTTTATGTGCGCGGGGCTGGCGGGGCGTGGCCGCAGCTCGAAAATACAATAAACATAAATTAGCATCAGGCGCGCTCAACTGAAATTTTGTTTTAATAATATTAAAACAAACAAACCAAAACAAAAAAATTCAAACAAAAAGGAATTTGAATATTTTTATGAATATTCAAAAAATGCGACGGTATCAAGAAATGGGCCATACTAAATCTTCGATAGCTTAGTCAATGAGTCAGCATGTTGAATCATTGTCGCAATCGAAGTGACTGAGCACAAAGCGCATATAAATAAATAAATGTAAATGTATTTGTATATATGTATGTATATAAAACAATTACAAAATACATATACATATATATGTATATATATATATATACTTATATGCAGCCATGTCTGTGTGCTGGCATGCCGCATAGCCTAGACATGGCAAAAAGTTTGTCTTCGACATTTTGCCATTATGCCGCAAAATGTTGCACATGTCTCTCTCGTGTTGCACTTGCCCCCAACTTGCGTTTGCAGCTGTCTGTGTGTTGCTCGGGTTAATTACTTTGTAATGAACTTTGACAACAATCAACAAAAACAAACAACAGCCAGCAAAAATATATAAGAATAAAATCAACAACAAAAAACTACCAAAAAAAATACCAAATAAAAGTTGCAAATTAGCCGCAGCCAGCGCAGGTCTATTTATTTAATAACCCCCAAATCCAATTTCCAATTTACCTGCAATTCCCATCGACTGTTTGATGTTGTGCCCCCGCCCCCTTCTGCACCAGCCCCACCCATGTGGGGCATCCATCCACTTCACTTCATATGCTACGTTTGCCCTCAGCTCAGTTAGAAGCAAGAAGCGCGCCTCAAGCAGGTGTCTGTCCGTCGTTCTGTCTGAGTTTTCTTTTTTCCATTTTGTTTTTTAATTGACACTTCTGCTAATACCACCCCACACAGACAGACACACACACACGCACACACACACGCACACACACACGCACACACACACGCATACCCTGACTGACTGGCATTTTAATTAGAAAATTTTTCTTGCAATTAATGCAAATTGCGTGCGTGTGCCAATTTCAATGCGCCAGTTCAATTGTGGCAACAGCCACCACCTACCTGCCACGCCCCCACTGCGCCTTAGCCACTCAACTATAAACCCTTTTTTTTTTTTGAATGCGACTGAAGTATGATTACATATTTGTGTGCTGGCAAATATTTATTGTATTAGGAAAAACTCCATAAAGGCAAAAAATACAACAACAAAAGGACAAAAATCTACAGTCGACTGAACAGGGTCGGGGAGAAGCGTAGGGGGAGCGACGGTGACAGGGGTACTGGCACTCAACGTGTCTGGCGAGAATATTCGTCTGATTTGTTATAAAAGGCAAATATTCATCAAGCAAATTGTGGCACAGGTGGTGGTAGATAGATATAGATAAATGTATATCTATATATATATATATATATATATATATTCATATTTTACCACATATATATATATATATATGTATATGCTACATGATAGCTCATATCTATATTTTTCGCGTTAAATCCATATCCTTTTGAATGACAATTTGGTCAACATGTTCCTCTCTAATAAATTACAAACAACACACACACACACACACACACAGCAAACACACAAAAGCGCAGACAAAAAATGGCCAATGGTAAAAAAAAAAAAATCGAGAGACAAATATTCAAATATACAAATACAAATATATAAAAATTTCTTCTTTTTTTTTTGTCTATGGAATTGAGCTGTGCCTGTGGTTGGGGCATTGCGTTATTTAAAAGTCGTCTCTGTCTGCAAATCCATCCATGCAAAAAAGCGCGACAGTTAGCTGCTTAAAAAGTTATTTTTTTTACCTTTATACTTTTCACATATTCTATATCAATAGATATTCATGAATTTGTTGGACAATTTAAGAGTTTTTAATGCCAGCAGAAGCGGGTCTAGCAAGAAATGTTATTCTAATGCATTTTGCAACACACTCGACACGCTTTGCAACACTAGCTGAGCTGAAGTTGAAGTATTTTTTATAGAATTTATACATATTTACATATGTGTATATTTATGTATATTTGTAATATTTTTCTAAAATTACATATTTTTATATTTTTGTATATTTGATATACGCTTATATATAATATTTATTATTTTCTATTATTTACTTAATTCATATATTATTAATTAATTAATTTTATATTATTTAATTGTATGTTATATATATTTGTATATATTTCATATATATTCTATTGGTATATTCCACTTATTTTGGTATATTTGAAATATTGTATTACTTTTCTATAATTTCTTCCCATTTAATAACTGATAGATCCACTCAGCTTTTAAAGCCAATAAACATCTCTTTAAGCCCTTATCTCGCCGCTTATTGATTGTTGAAGTCGTCTGAGTGTGTTACAGTTGACACCGAGTGCATTGAACTGTCCATAGCCTTCGGTTCCTCCTCCAGTACGTCCTCCTCCTCCAGTTGCTCCTGCTACTCCTGCTACTTCTCCTGCTGCCACAGCCAGCACACATCCGTTAGCCATTTTAGCAGTTTCATTTTCAGTTCCAGCTACGTCTCCGGCTAAAGAGCGCTTAAGCTGTCTGTGTCTGTAGCCGCTGTAGCGCCCGCCCGGCCACAGTGTCCATCCGTCCAGGACGTGTGGGGGTCAGCCAGGTGTCATCAATGTCATCTTCGACTTTATAACACAAAAACACTTTGTAATCCCCAAATGAAGCGACGGCGCTGACGACGATGACCAAGAGCCAAAAACAGAGTAATAATAGCCGAAATAAAAAAAAATGCTTTTTTGGCCAAAAGCATTCGAAGCAAATCGAAAATAAAAATCTGAGCAAAAAATAGAAAAATGTAAAATCCAATGAATCTGACTGCGGTATGTGGCATGTGGCATGTGTCGTCACTCTGGAAAAAACAAAAATCACAAAAAGTAGAAGAAACAGGCAAACGTTACGATCTATTGTAGTTGGCCCTTTTATCGCCTTTTGTCCATCTATGTGGCATCTATGTGGCTTTATTGTATTTCAATGCGAAATACTTTTCAAATCGTTCGCTCGCTCGTCCGTTCGCTTCAATTGACAGCGGGCGACCAAACATTTGTCATTCATGTGTTGATTTCCGTTTCCTGTGCGCTCCGCTTCCTGCTCCGGCCAGTCCAGGCAGTCGTGCTGCACAAGTGTTTGCTCCTTTGGGGCATCGATTATGCCTGGGCAATTGTAAAGCGATTTTCAGTTATATCATTGCGCTCGCCACGCCCACCACCGACTGGCCCTGATTGATGTTTGTTGGCCAAGCAGCAGCCGCAAAAATACCACAAGGACACACGCGCGCGCGGCATTCAGCTCAACCACTTGTGCGATTATTTTACAATTTACCACTCGATTTTGATTTCTTTTTTCCAATGTTTTTTTGTTTTTTTTTGGTATTTGATGTTGTGCAGCTTCAGCTCGATTTTTCGATTGTTTTGCTGCAGCGACATTTAACGAGTGGAACCAAAAAACAGCAAAAAAAAAAAGAGGGAAAATCCTTCATTTCAATTGAATTTGTGCAGAGCATTTTTGTTGCTGTCGCTTGTTTGTTGTACTCTTTCAATTGCAATTGAATTCACATTCATTTATTCATTTCGACTCGTTTCGTTTCGTTTCGTTTCGTTTATTCAAGCTGGCTCTGCCAGCGCGCGCTTCGATGAGCAGCCCCAACTCCAACTCCAACTCCAGCTCCAGCTCCAGCTCCACTTCCATTGCCCACCTATTTTGGCTCCATGGCGCGTGCCAAATTAGCGCTTCGCTTGCATTGAACTATTTGGAGGGCCCAACCAGGCATTTAAAATTTTTTTTTTTTTTTTTTTTATACTTTTTTGACTGAACTCTGTGCGCTGGGCTTCACATTTGTATGGCCATTGATGTTTTGGTCCGGTTCGCTTTGTCTGTGGTCGCGGTTTTGTTGATTGAAAATCAAATGGTGTTATAATTGAGCTTGCCTGAGCGCGGGGGGGGGTTGGGGAGGCGCAATTCTTTGCAATTTATGTTTGTTGCACACACACACACACACACACACACACACAAAATGTTTATCAAATTTATCGTACACTGCACAACAAAGTCGGAAGCAAAAGCGATATAAATGCAAGCTAAATATGTATGTATATGTATGTATATATGTTTATTGAATTGAATTCCTAGTTCGATCTGCCTTTCGCTCAGTGCATAAACGGGGCGTCATCCAAAGTGCATCGAGCCTGGGCTATTTCAAATGCTGCGCCGCTTTATGGCCACAAATTTGCGTTGGCTTTTTGAACGCTTTATGGCTTAATTGGCCCGCTGGGCTGTTGGGCTGCTGGCCCTGGGCAGCACGATTCGGTTTCGTATCAATTGGGCTTCAATAAATGAGCTAAAATCTGAAATGCGCATAAACTTTATAACGTTTAATGGGCAAGCCAATGCCACTTTACGATCAATATATACAATCAACAACATTAACTGGAATCATGCCCTCTCTCTCTCTCACTCTCTCTTGGATAGACTCTGGACTGCCACAGTATGCTGGTCGCGGCGCTGGCGGCGATGATTCCATGTCCGAGGATCGCCTCGCACACATACTCAGCGAAGCCTCCTCCCTGATGAAGAGCAACGTGGTCGCCGCCCAGCAGCAACAGCAACAGCAGCAGCAGCAGCAACAGCAGGAGCATCAGCGTCGTCATGCCAGCGACGATACGCACAGCAACGATGACAGCAAATCGCCGCCGCAGAGCTGCAGCTCGCCCTTCTACAAGGTGGAGCATCAGATCAAACAGCAGCAGCAGCAACAGCAGCAACAGCAACAGCAGCAGCAGGCGCAGCAGCAGCAACAGCTGCACGTCTCTGATCATGCGCAGCGCGAGCAACGCGAGGCGGCCGCCGCCGCTGCCGCCGTTGCCGTCCACCAGCAGCAGCAGCAACGCGAGCAGCGCGAACAGCGTGAGGCCGTGCAGCGCGAGCAGCAGCAGCGACTGCGTCACGAGGATCTCGCCCAGGACAAGATGGCGCGTCTCTATCAAGAGCTAATGGCGCGCACACCGCGCGAAGCAGCCTTCCCCAGGTGAGTGGGCGACATTAAGACTTTGTCTCCAGAGATCGCCGTGAGACGCCTTCTCCTTCTTGAGCTCTCGTATTCATTTCGGAAAATTTCTCAATTTGTTTTTTGTAGCTTTTTGCTGTCGCCGTTCTTTAGCGGCGCCGCTGGCATGCCCGGAGCAGCCGCCAATCCATTCCCCGCTGCCATGGCCGCCGATGAGAATATGCGTCACGCCTTCGAGCGTGAGATCGTGAAGCTGCAGCAGCAGCAGCAGCAGCAACAGCAGCAACAGCAGCAGGCGCAGGCCGCCAGCTTTCCCAACTTTTCCAGTTTGATGGCCCTGCAGCAGCAGGTGCTGAATGGCGCGCAGGATCTGTCGCTGGCCGGCAAGGATATCAAGCTGAATGGCCAACGATCGTCGCACGATCAGCACAGCGGCAGCGGCAGCAGCTCCAAGGATGGCGAACGCGGCGATGATGTTGGCGATCGCAGTTTTCCCGCCCTGCCACATGCCCGCAAATCGGATGGCGGCAACACGCCCGCACCACCCGCACCGCCCGCCGTCAATGCGGCCGGCAGCGGCAGCAATCCGCTAACCGCCGGCAGCGTCGCCGGCAGCGTCACCAGCGGCCATGGCAGCAACTCGGCTGCGCCCAGCCCCCTGAGCAACTCGATCCTGCCGCCAGCGCTGAGCAGCCAGGGCGAGGAGTTCGCGGCCACGGCGAGTCCGTTGCAGCGCATGGCCTCGATAACCAACTCGCTGATCACACAGCCGCCGGTGACACCGCACCACTCGCAGCCGCAGCGGCCCACCAAGGCGGTGCTGCCGCCCATCACACAGCAGCAGTTCGACATGTTCAACAACCTGAACACGGAGGACATTGTGCGGCGCGTGAAGGAGGCGCTCTCCCAGTACAGCATCTCGCAGCGACTGTTCGGCGAGTCGGTGCTGGGCCTGTCGCAGGGCTCCGTTTCGGATCTGCTGGCCCGGCCCAAGCCCTGGCACATGCTCACCCAGAAGGGCCGTGAGCCGTTCATACGCATGAAGATGTTTCTGGAGGACGAGAATGCGGTGCACAAGCTGGTGGCCAGCCAGTACAAGATCGCGCCCGAGAAGCTGATGCGCACGGGCAGCTACAGCGGCAGCCCGCAGATGCCCCAGGGGCTGGCCAACAAGATGCAGGCAACGCTGCCCATGCAGAAGATGATGAACGAACTGAAGCTGCAGGAGCCGGCCCAGGCCCAGCACATCATGCAACAGATGCAGGCAGCGGCCGCCATGTCCGCGGCCATGCAGCAGCAGCAGGCAGCGGCCGCCCAAGCGGCTGCCGTGCAGCAGGCCCAGGCCCAGGCCCAGGCTCAGGCCCAGGCACAGCAGAGCCACCAGCAGCAGGCCCAACAGCAGGCCCAGCAGCAGGCCCAGCAGCTGCTCCATCATCAGAATATGCTGCTGACGTCGCCCGGTCTGCCGCCGCAGCATGCCATCAGCTTGCCGGCGGCAAGCACGCCCAGCGGCCAGGCGGGCGGCAATCCGGCGTCTGTTGCCACGCCCGGCAGCAACGAGAAGAAGCCGATGATGATGCCGGTGCACGGTGGGGCGCATGCTCCGAATGCCATGCGCAGCCTGCACCAGCACATGTCGCCCACTGTCTATGAGATGGCCGCGTTGACCCAGGATCTGGACACGCACGATATTACCACCAAGATCAAGGAGGCGCTGCTCGCCAACAACATTGGCCAGAAGATCTTTGGCGAGGCGGTGCTGGGCCTGTCGCAGGGCTCCGTGTCGGAGCTGCTGAGCAAGCCGAAGCCCTGGCACATGCTCTCGATCAAGGGGCGCGAGCCCTTCATACGCATGCAGCTCTGGCTGAGCGATGCCAACAATGTGGAGCGGCTGCAGCTGCTGAAGAACGAGCGCCGGGAGGCGAGCAAGCGGCGTCGCAGCACCGGACCCAATCAGCAGGACAACAGCAGCGACACGTCCAGCAACGATACTAACGATTTCTATACGAGCAGTCCGGGTCCCGGCTCGGTGGGTTCGTCGGTGGGCGGTGCCCCGCCCAGCAAGAAGCAGCGCGTGCTCTTCTCCGAGGAGCAGAAGGAGGCGCTGCGCCTGGCCTTTGCCCTCGATCCGTATCCGAATGTGGGCACCATCGAGTTTCTGGCCAACGAGCTGAGCCTGGCCACGCGCACCATCACCAACTGGTTCCACAACCATCGCATGCGGCTCAAGCAGCAGGTGCCGCACGGCCAGCCCGGCCAGGACAATCCCATACCCAGTCGCGAGAACACCAATGCCACGCCCTTCGATCCCGTCCAGTTTCGCATCCTGCTGCAGCAGCGGCTCGTCGAGCTGCACAAGGAGCGCATGGGCCTGAGCGGTGCGCCCATACCCTACCCACCGTACTTTGCCGCCGCCGCCCTGCTCGGCCGCAGTTTGGCGGGCATTCCGGGCGCTGCGGCGGCCGCTGGTGCAGCGGCTGCTGCGGCCGCCGCCGTCGGCGCCGCTGGCGGCGATGAGCTGCAGGCGCTCAATCAGGCCTTCAAGGAGCAGATGAGCGGACTGGATCTGTCCATGCCGACGCTGAAGCGCGAGCGCAGCGATGACTATCAGGACGAGCTGGAGCTGGACGCCAGTGGCCAGAATTTGAGCGACAACGAGTCCATCGAGGGTGGCCACGAGCCCGAGAACACCACGCCCATATCCGAGTACGAGAAGGCGCTGCAGAAGTCGGCGCTCGCCTCCGCCGCCGCTGGCTACTTGAACAATGCGGTGCGCAGTTCGCGCCGCAAGCCCGCCGCCCCCCAGTGGGTGAATCCGGCTGGCGCCACCACGCCCACAGCGGCGGGCGCTGCGGGCGCCGCCATCGCAGCCGGCGATAGCAGCGCCAGCGAGCGCATCATCAACGGCGTCTGCATCATGCAGGCCTCCGACTACGGACGCGACGAGGGCGACAGTGTCAAGGGCGGCGAGTCCAATGCCGATGCCGAGCACGATGATCATGCGCACCTGGAGATCGAGCAGCGCTTCATGGAGCCGGAGGTGCACATCAAGCAGGAGGAGGACGACGACGATGAGACGACCTCGCAGCAGCAGCAGCAACAGCAGCAGCAGCTGGACGATGAGAGCGCCGAGAAGCAGCTGAAGGTGATCAACGAGGAGAAGCTGCGCATGGTGCGTGTGCGGCGGCTGAGCAGCAATGGTGATGGCGATGAGCATTGCGCTGCAGTGCAGCAGGCAACGGCAGCGGCAGCAGCGGCGGCAGCAGCAGCAGCGGCCGTTGCAGCGGCAGCAACTGCGACGCCAGCAGCAGCGGCAGCAGCGTGGAACTACTAAGCTAGTAACTGGAACTGGAACTGGAACCGGAACGGGAACTGGTTAGCAGAGTGCAATGTTGAAGACGTTTACTTGTGATTAAGTTTGGCAGCGGCCCCAGAACATGTTTAGCCACTGGCTAATAAATATAAACACACATACATATACATATATGCATGTGTATGCATACTTATATATATATATATATATAGCGATATATTGCACATAAATACGCATAATATATATATATATACATCCATATATATATATATACACATACATCTTATTTAGAACTAGCTATTTAAGATCTAATTTTTTTTTTTTTTTTTTTTTGAAGAAGTAGTTGTAGCTAAAAAAGTTTAGAGACGCTATGCGAAGCGCAGGTGCGATAGAGCAGCGCAAAAGTATTAAATTGTTGGCTTTAAACTTGCCCTCCTCACGCCCCCCACCCTCCTCCTCCCGACCCCTGCCCCCTCACTAAACACGTAAAATCTCCGCCGCAACAACTCTACCTAAAAACTCAACCAAAAGCCAAATCTGTTGAGGCGCAGATTATGCAAAAAAAACAAAAAAACAAAAACAAAAAGATTTTTTTGATTTCTTTACGACTTGAAGACTGTAAAAGCAAACGGCGGTAGAATTTTATTATTATCATTATGATTATGATTATTATAAATATTAATTACAAGATTTCTAATTTTTTTTCTCGTCTGCATTGTTAAGTGTAAATAGATAAACAATAAATATACAATATTAAACTCTAGCAACTCGAGGGCCGTTCTGTAAATACCGAAACTGTAGATGTTGACGGCGAAAAAGAAAAGAAGTAAGCGTAGAAAACAAAACAAAAGCTAAGCAGAAAGAAAGTTTTTTTTTTTTATTTTCCATAAACATAGCAAAATAAAAACTATATATTATGGTCCATTTTTTTTTTTTTTTTTATCACAAATGTTTTTTAGCTATCTTTTGATCTCACACACACACACTACTGTAAAATATAAAACACAAATAATAATGAAAACAGCTGAAAACTGAAAACGAACAACAACAAAATATGAATCCAAAGTAAAAGATAGTTAACAAGAAAGAAAGCTCTAGTCGAGACTGCTCGACTACGAGATCCCCTGAACC